CGTCAGCAGGAAAACAGTGGCTCGGCAGCAGATACCTGCAGAGTTCATGACTGATCGACTTCATTTCACCTTAACGTCATTACCTGAATCACATGACTTCCAAATACTGCAGCCTGTACAGGTGACACGTGACTTTTGGCAGGGCAGTTGTAATGAGGACTGTAACTGGTTTGTATGTGGATTAGCAGCGACTTCAGGGTGTTGGTCAGGACAGCAATTATGTATGTCCAGGTGAGTTGAGATAAAAGGAGAGAATGTCCAGGTCCTGCATTTAGCTTGAACTTGTCTTTAATTAGACTTGACCATGAACCTTATCACTCCTTGTTCTCTGAGTTTGTGTGTGTGTTTGTGGTTTCTACATGAGAATAAACAAGATATAAATAATAATAATGTGTTGTCATCATTGCATGTTCCCATACAATGGCAAAATTGGCTCTCTGCATTTAGCCAATGCACCCCCAGGTGAAGTGGTGGGCAGCTATTGGGGACACCCGGGGAACAACTGGGGATGGGGTGTCCTGCTCAGAGACACCACAAGATGTGCAATGACTGGAGATCCAGCCTGAGACTTTCAGGTCCCGGGTCAGCTGCCCTGCCTCTCTCCATCTCAGCCCCCTAAGATACGAGTCTATGAGAACTCTTCAAATTACAATGCAACTTAAATGTCTACATGGGGGAAGAAAAAAAAACATAACTAAGACCTGGTTGATAATTATCAATGAAAATGTACAACATAAATGCACATAAAATAACTAAGTAATTAAATCAGCATAAAGTATACATCACACAACAATATATAGTATTTCAGTTGGAAAATATGAGCCACAGACATGAACTGTATCATAGACACAGGCCTATAGGCCTCGGATAAGTAATGCTAAGTGACTAGCAGTTACCTTCTCTGAAATACTCAGAAAAGAGTCTTGAACAATCATTGCACTTAACAAAACTTGGTGAAATACAGTTTTCAGCTTTTACAAAACAAGGATAGAGCACGAATAAATGGTAAATGGACTGTACTTACGTTTAAAGTTCCTTTTTATCTTATCAAGACACTCAAAGCTCTTTACAACACAATCTGTGCACTCATTTACCCATTCATGCAGCACTCTTTACAAAGACTAATCGGTGCTTTATCACATGCATGCACAAATGAGACACACGTCGGATGCAATGAGAGGTTCAGTGTCTTGCCCAGAGACACGTCAGCATGTGACTGCTGGTGGAATCAAACCCCCAACTCTTGCATCGGAAGACGACTGCTCAGCCACATCTGCCATATATAAATAATGTTACTTATTTCCAGTGGACATTGTAGGAGCTATTTGTCTATTGTTTGTTGTCTTTGAAATTAGTTTATTGGTTGATAAATTACCAATAACTTATTTTTAGGTTTGATTTTTAAATTAGCACTTTTTCAATCATAATTGTTTAAAATAAATTTGTTGGTTAGTAATTTGTTTAGTTTATACATTTATTTTTATCTGGGATGTGGGTATTAGAGTATAAATACATAGTCTGTAGGGAGGTTTAGAGGCAAGTGGGTGGTCGTATGTTTGTTTGGACCAGTCGGAGGTGGGGCAACGAGGGGAGCAGTCATGCAGGATCTACAGCAGGTGTGTCAGAAAGGGATGCTATGTATCAAATTGTTTGGCTGACTTGGAATAAACCTACCATAAACTGCATTTTTGGACCTTTCCTTTGTACTGCGTAAACCACAAACCCAAGGAGCAACAAGGGATTAGAGTAACAGTCACCTTCAGTTAGATCATCTTTTGTTTGTACTTGGTTTTCATGGACAAATAGTCTCTGCAGACGCACACTGTTAATGACTATGATTAAATGAAGTCTATAATGTCGATAACACTATTGCAATGGTTTATTATCTGGGTGTCCAAATACTTATTTAAAAGTCCTCATTTAATCCTAAATGCTGCTGCCAGAGTCTTAACTGGAGTTACTGGGAGAGATCAACTCTCTCCAGTTTTGGCTTCTCTCCATTGGCTCCATGTCAAATCAGAATTTTACTTCTAATACAAAGCTCTCAAGCTCCATCTTATATTACAGATCATATTGTTCCATATTCTCCTAACAGAGCACTTCACTCTCAGACTGCAGGTTTACTCGTGGCTCCCAGAGTTTTCAAAAAACAGAATGGGAGGAAGATCTTTCAGTTCTCAGGCTCCTCTCTTGTGGAACCAACTTCCAGTTTCTGCCCGTGAGTCTGACACATTGTCCAGTTTGAAGACTGGGATTAAGACTTTCCTTTTTGATAAATCTTATAGTTAGGGTCGGCTTGTTATACTTCCTTAAGCGTAGATTACTAGAGGACAAATTGACCTCATGTCCTTAAATGATTTGTTGAAATTGAATATTTTTATTTCATACTATTTCTATCTTAAAATGTGATTCTTGACCTGCCATTGTGTATCTGTTCCTACCAAACTCGAAGCAGATGGCCTCTTGTCCTGAGCCTGGTTCTGCTAAAAGTTTCTTCCTCATGAGGGAGTTTTTTCTTTCCACTGTCGCCTTCATGTTTGCTCAAGATGAGAGTTTGGCGATGGAGTTAAATTCAAAGCAGTCTGCTCCTCAGATAAATAATGTAAAATTATTATTTTTTATATATGAATGTTTCTGTTCAATGTCCTGAGATGACTTCTGTTATGACTTGGCGTTATATAAATTAACTGAATTGAATTTAGAACTCTCTGAACACTGCATGGGACCAATCTATATTGGTGGATTAATGAAGGCACCTAGTGGAAGAAATAAAAACTACAAAAGCAATTCTAAACTACTGACACACCAAACAAAGGGCTGAAAACAAGCAAATAATCTTTTGTATAGCAATACTATTATTTTCTAAAACAAAGTTAATGGGGCGTGGTGACGCAAAGGCGAGCTTGTAATCAGGTCGCCAATTCGGCTTCCGTGACAGACAACATCAAAATGTGGGCGGAAAAGTTGAAACACCCACATCAGCCTCCACCCTAATTTGTCACACTCTGGGCCCTTGAGCAAGGGCCTTAACCCCCACCATCTGCTCCCCCAGGCATCCTAGCTCTCAGCTCCACACAGAGAGCTGTGGTAGCGCGGCGGTCTGTGGTTGGATCAGGTTGGGCATCCTACATAGAACAACTGCCAAGTCTTCTTGTGAGTTAGTTTGCTGTGGCGACCCCTGAAGAAGGGAGCAGTCGAATGAAGAAAAAAACTAATAAAAAGTTTGTGTAATCTTACTCTATATAGAGATGAGAATTAAAATTAATTATTTACTGTATAATAGCACATCCTCCTTCTTATACTTTCCCTCAAATACTTAAATGTTTTTTCCATAATTATTTTTGGACCCTGCTCATACCTCATACTGAGTTTTTTGAACATTTGTTGTTATACGCTCGTCGAAGGTGGACATGTTAAGGTACAGTCTCCATCTGTCCATAAACTTTACCTTGTCTGGACCAAAACTTTTGATCCGCTCAAAATAATTTAATGAAACCTCGTAGACCTATGCAACATCTCTATGCCGACAATACACTTGTTTATTGTTACACTAACACAGTTGCCAAGGTTTCACAGCATTTACAGTCTGCATTTGACATCATCCAGTCAGATCTTTTCCATCTCAAACTAGTGCTAAATACTGATCAAACCAAAGGGATTTTGTTTTCAAACAGGAAGTTGGTACCAGCAGTTCTTCCTCCTTTCTTATCTATGCATGGAGTTCCTACTGAATTTGTGGATTCTTACAAATACTTGGGAATCTTGGTTTATACACATCTCTTTTTTAAGCCGCATGTTGAAAACTTGTTAAAAAAATTGAAATTAAAACTTTTTTTTTTCAGAAATAGATCTTGCTTAACTCTGAATGCCAGAAAATGCCTTGTAGCTGCTACTTTCCTACCGGCTATTGACTATGGTGACATTATTTACGTGAATGCTCCTGCTAGCTGCTTGCAGATGTTGGACGCTGTCTGTCATGGTGCACTAAGATTCATAAAAGGTTGTAACTACCGTATCAATCACTGCTTCCTGCACTCATTGGTCATTTGGTCATCATTATCAACACGTAGGCTCTCACACTGGTTCATCTTCATCTATAAATCACTCTTTGGTCTGCTGCCTTCTTATATCTCTCCCACTTGTCACGTCATCAGTGCAGTTACAACGCGCACTCTCAAGTATTTGGACTCATTTAACATCTTACCTCTCCATCAATCTGGTTTTAGGAAACGACACAGCATAACAACTGCTTCGCTGAAGATTTTAATGACATAGATGAAACACTGGATGCTAAGGATTATTGTGCTGCACTTTTCTTAGACCTGTCTAAAGCTTTTGACACTGTGGTGTGGACCATGACATCTTATGTCATAAGCTCTCAGAAAGTGGTTTCTCAGATCACACCACTGGTTGGTTCACTATCTCTCAGACCAGAGGCAATGTGTTCAACATAATGGTACTTCCTCCAGTTATTTAACAGTCAACAATGGTGTACCACAAGGCTCAGTCTTAGGACCCACCCTCTTTACAATCTACATAGGTAATGTATGTCAGAGCATCCCTGATACATCCTTACATTTCTATACTGATGACACAGTTGTTTATTGTCGAGCAACAACAGTTGCCAAGGTTTTCCAGCATTTGCAATCTGCTTTTGACATCATCCAGTCAGATTTGTTCCATCTCAAACTTGTCCTAAATGCTGACAAAACCAAAGGGATGTTATTTTTAAAAAGGAAGTCGGTCCCAGCTGTTCTTCCTTCAATTTTATACCCGAATGGTGCCCCTATTGAGTTTCTCAATTCCTACAAATATTTGGGTATATTGGTCGATTCACATCCCTATTTAAGTTCCACATGGAAAACTTAGTAAGGAAATGGAAAGTTAAACTGGGTTTCTTTTTCAGAAACAGATCCTGTCTAACTCTGAATGCTAGGAAATGCCTTGCAACTGTGACTTTCCTTCCTTCCATTGACTACAGTGACATTATTTACATGAACGCTCCTACAAGCACCCTGCAGATGTTGGGGGTCTCTAAAAGGTAGTGGAACCCCGTGGGGAAAAAAACCAAAACTGGGACATAGTTTGTTTTATCCCCTCTTGTCATTATAGGTGCCAGAAGTATCCTGTTGCTACTGCCATCTTCAGTTGTCTGGCGCCAAGTATCTCTGGGCTGTTGGGTCGTCATGGTGGTGTCATCACTACTGTTCCAACGTCGTTGTCATGGCAGTGATGAGTGGCATCCTTGTCCTGGACGGGCCACAGAACCTACCAGCAGTATCTGCCAAGGCATGCCTGCAGACGGAATGTACCTGTAGACTCATCTGGACCTTTGCCCGGAATGCGCCATACTACCTGCACAGGGCAGATACCCAGCCGCGGAGCCGATATTATCCTGTAATAAAAAAACTATGGGATAACCCCGACAATGCTACCAGGTTTGTGGCCATACACCTGTTGACTGGACAAGCCCTTGTCCATGGACCACTGTTCAGGGTCACACCTGCGTTGCTGGAACCCCTGCCTCCTAATGTACATGTTTACCTGGAAGCAAGCTTGGGGAAAACCCCTCTGCAGGTCCCTACACCTGAGGGACCAATCGTTCATGCCCTGGGCAGTGACCCCATTACTCACATTCCACTGGCACCAAACCTGTCAAAAATGCTCAGACAACTAGATGCAGCACCTGAAGAGTTGCCTGGCTCTTCTGGCTCGGATCATATGGAGGTACAATCCAAAGCTACCCCCACATCAATATGGTGGTCTCCCGTGTGCGAAACCCACAATTAGAGGTTGACCATGAAGTAGTCATGTCACCCCCAACCCTCACACTAGAATGTCCCATTCTACACTCCCTGGAGAGCTACCTTGCCACCTGGTGGGACCAACACGGTGACCATCCTGGTCTTCAAGAAGAGACACTGACCCTTCGTGGACCTACTACAGTTCCTGAAGGGCCTACATCGGAGCACCCACAAGAGGAATGGGAGAACGGCAATGAGCAACCCCCATCATCATCTGGGTGGTGCATCGTTGAACCAGTAACCCCTCCTGTACCACTTGTGTCAAGCGGCACACCAGAAAACTCGGCTCAAGAAGTGAAGGAGGACACAGATCAGTCTCTACCTGAGCCTAAGAGGAATGGCTCTCCTGCCAGAGTGAGGAGCCCTCAACTGTCGGCCACTCAGCCTGACAGAACATGCATGGAGGACGTTGACTTGAGTGAAATGTCTGTGTTGGATGCATGGGACATCTCCGATGAAAGCGCTGTGAGTCCTCATCTCAGCGACACTGAAGATCCTGTGTCACAACTTGAGAGTGTGATTGAACTGAGCGATGACGAGGACGTCCTGAGTCTGGATACATCAGAAGATGGCTGGCTAAAGGACTAACAAGGGCAAGGACTGATTTCACAGAGGGGGTGTCAATAGATGTGATCTTTAGCTAAATGTGAAATCAGTGCTAAGCCCTAAAAAGGTTACAGCCTTGCCTCCTCTATGAAGAAAGAAGCTGCAGGCCTCTGTGTGTGCATGTGTGTGCGCTTATGTTAGCAGGACTGATCAAATCCTGATGTTCTCTCTATGTGTGTGTGTGTGAGGTATTCCAGGGGATGAGAGCAGAGGCACTGAGCTGCAAGTTTTTCTCAGTGAAGCTGCACACAGAGAAAAAGTGTTTAAATGTTTTCCAAATCAAATAATGATTGTTGTATGATCATTACTTAAAAAGTGATTATGTGAGTAATTATATGTGATTATATGTGATTAAAAAAAAACTTGTGATTAAGTTGAATCTAAAATGCTAAACTGTAATGTTGGCTGGAGTGAACAGAGTGACTCATGTATTGAACTGTAGTAAACCCCCATGAGCAGAATAGTGTTGAAACTTAAGACAGAATGTCCAGAGAAGGACAACACCCTTATTATAAAATGGCTGTTAGAAGTAAATGTTCCAAGAAGTTAGTATGTATGACAATTTAAGGGGCCAATCACAGGCTTACAGCAGAGGGCATCACTCGTAGGGGCGAGCCTAGCTGATGCTAGGGGTTGAACGAGTATATAATTTTTAAACTCGACATTAACATAATAAAACCCGAGTAGAACTCGAGTATTTGATGGCGTCATAGATCTCAAGATACTAAAATAAATAAATAAATAAAACCGCAAAATAAAGGTAATTATTTACAACAAGTAAAAAGACCAACAAAACATTGGGAGTGTATATTATGCTCCTACCATTTATCATACTGCAAATAAGTCACAGGAAAAACTAAACTATTAGTTAAAAACAACAAAAAAGGTTGAATCATGTCATCTGGACTTCGTTTTTTTTG